GATGCAAACTTTCACATTATCATATATCTTCTGTAGCAATCTATTCATCTTAGGGCTAATACCATGTTTTTGCATTACCCCCCCAAAGTTTTTCTCTCTGTATTGAATCAAACGCTTTCTTAAAATCGACAAACAAAGCATACATTTTCTTTCCCTTTGTATTTAGACACTTCTGAACAATTGAATTAAGTATAAAGATATTATCGACAGTACTGTATCCTGCCCTAAAGCCGGCTTGGGATTCATCTATTTTATCAAAAGTATTTGCCCAAAAGTCAATCTCTTGTTGATGATATAGACAAAAACCTTTCCCAATATACTTAACAGATTTATACCTCTATAATTATCAACATTATTAATGTTCCCGCTCTTATGAATTGGGATAATAATTCCAATAGTCCAAGTCGATGGAAAATTACCGCTCTCTAAAATAACATTAAAAATCAACTCCAAGTAAGGTAATAAGATATCTTCAGAATATTTAATAAATTCAGGTAATATATCATCAACACCCGCTGCTTTGTTTACCTTTAAGTGTCTTATACTATCTATAATTTCTTGTCTGGTAATAGGTGGATCTAGAATATCATTAGTCAATAGGTCAAAGTCAGTTGGTGTGCATGTACGTACATTAGTACTCTCGTTGCCAGCACTTACATCCTCTGTTACATCATTGCTAGTTGATGTAAACAATTGTTTGAAATGTTCAAACCACTCACGGGTACGTATATACTGATATCATGTTTAGTAGACTGTTTACCATTTAAGCCTTGAAGGATTGACCAAAACTCTTTGGAATTGATATGGTTTTCTAGTTTTATCTGTTTTTGTTTATAGTACTCTGTTCTTTTCTGCTTACACTTAGCGTTATATAGGTTTCTAACTAAATGGTACTCATCTAAGTGCTGTTTGTCTTTATAAATTCTGAACTGATTTAATTTCCGGCAACGCTCGGCTTTCAAACGCCTACATTCACTATCAAACCATGAGCTGTTCTTGCTATAATATCTATGTGTCGATTTTCGTTTCATACCCATAGCAGCAGAGCACAAAGCATCTGCAATATATTCTATACTCTGATTGATATCACTAAAGGCTGTATCTAAACATTTATCGAGTAAGTCCTGCACACTATCTGAGAGCATATTTTGTCTAAACTCATCCGATATTTCTTCATTCCAAACAAACTTATAACTATGATTCAAATCTTCTTTTATTACATCATATTCCCGCTTGTGTGTTGTAACCAATTTCATCGTGACTGGGAGGTGCGTGGACTCTGTGCGAGATTGTATATTGAAGTCAGTACAAGACGAGAACAGACATGATGATGCAATAATATAATCAATTGCGCTGGCCCCCATTGACCCAAGAAATGTAAAATCTCCAATATTTTTGTCTGCTCCGCATCTCCCATTCATGATATGGATATTCAAAACAGCACATAATTCTACCAAAGATCGTCCAAATGAATTAACAGTCTTGTCGACGGAGAATCTTGCGAGGTTAAATTTATCTACAAGAAATATCCAATTTGACGTGTCTGTTTCTATATGTTCAAGTATATCATCCTCAATAAAGTCCGGGTCATTTCCTGTTCTCGCATTGAAATCTCCGCCACCCACAACAGATGCATCTGGATGATCCGACAATATATCTACTAGATTTTCCTGTAACAACTGAATCCCGTTTTTACAATGTACGTTTGTCTTTTCATACCAGGTTGACCCCTCAGGGTGTACATATACACAGGAATACAACAGATCTTTATCGTTACCTAATGTCTTATCAAATAAAATGTTAACTGTATTTTCAGTAATTTTGCACCATTTGATATATTGTCTAAGACATTTTCTAACTAGCACAACTATGCCACCTGATAATCTGCCGCGGTGAGATAACTTATCTGCAGGTTTCGTGAACGTGACATAGTCATCAAATATATTATCAACATCACAATCATTCATCCACGTTTCGGTAAGTCCGATAATCTCAAATGTTTTGATATACATAAGGAACTCATTATCGGATAATTTAGATGATAAGCCAGACACATTCCAAAATAGGAATGATTGATGATAAAACTCATCAGGTGACGCGGTTGACTGAGCGGAGGGTGAGTGATGCGCCGTACAATCACTGGGTGGATCAGTGTCAGTAGTTATACCCTGGCCACACCCCTATTGGTACCGACCACGTCTAGAGTGAGACCTGAGGTTTCTTGAGATACCACCCCCAGCCTGTGGTCCGGAGGGTAGCGCCTCATCGCTCTCACCTCCTGCACCCCCTGGGGCACTCTCCAACTCACCCCTAGGCTGACTCAGCAGTTTATTACCCTTGTAATAGTACCTGTTATCAGGGTCACTCTGTCTCAGTCTATCAAGTTCTTGTTTCTGGAAAAAGGTTAGGTTGTTAGCAATACCAATTTTCATGTCTCTGAGGACATCACGCAGTTTGACTGACCTCCACTTGTCCTCCCAGTGACACACGCGCACGATCATAGGTCTTGTCTTATTTGAGCTCTTACCTAAACGATGTGCTCTCTCTATGTCACGTGCATCAAGTGGGGACATATCTTTCACTTTCCTGGCGTTATTAAGTATTTCCAGTACTTTACGTTTACTCTCTGTGTAAGCCTCATTAGGCGTCTCCTCAATACCGTATAGAATCATGTTGTTTCTCCTCCCCCGTCTCTCCTGGTCCTCCATCCTGAACTCTACGTGCTCAACATAACTCTCCAGGTTGTCATGTTTCTCATTCAGTTTATCTATATCTGATCTTATCTCCTCCCGGTTTTTCTTGCCCTTTTCCACCTCACGTCTGACATCTACAATCTCTGCTCTTATAGATTGTACGTCCGCCCTAATTTCTTTGATTTCACCTGACAGTCTATCTCCCAGATCGTTTATGTGCTTAATGATCTCCTGCTTCAAATCGTTAAGCTCGGGGCTAGGGCCTGGGTTCATCTCTATATCTCCCGATACCATCAAATGTATCTGTACTATTCTAGCTGGAATATATAACTGCTCAGGGAGTGTGACGGTGGGGCTGTGAAAATGCAATGGTTGACTGAACACATCACTTCGCACAGTGACGTCACCAACATAAACAAATCCATAATCACACAAATAATCACACAACTGGTCTCGAATTGCAATACTCTGAGTAGTAGAAACCGAAGTGACAAGCAGATGCAGAGTGAAGAATACCAGCACAAGCAGACAGTCTTAGCGGAAAATCTGATGTGGAGGTGTGAGGTGTGTACTCATCGTCCGTCCCGACATGGCTCCCCTGTCGTGACCCGGGTGGGTGCACAAATTGGCCGATTCTCGATCTATAGGTCGCTAAATCCACCATCGTGTCTTCTCAACTCGATCCTGATGTGCTGATCTTGTACGTGTACAAATATTACCTGCTCTGGTTGGTCGGATTTCGAAATAACTCAAAATATCACACTCTGTCCCGCTCTGTGACGAGTTGCTCCCAACTGGATCTGGTGATCGTGGGTCGAATCCCATAATTACATAACGAATTTTTATACCCATTTAAGCAAGAGTGACTGCCTGCGAATTTTGATCATTGACATTTTAAACGTATTTTCTTGGGTACATTGCCTTTCATCCAACATAAAGCTGACACACATTAAATTATATTAAATAATATTCACAGAGGCTTCTTATCCAACTCGCTCACTCACTCACTCACTCACTCAAAATAAGTTTCCTCCACATCCTCCAGTCCCTGGTTGCTGTCAATATTGATACACCCCCTGGATGCTAGGTTAGAACTAGTCCACAGCAAACCAAGCTGGTGTGGAACATAAACCGAAAAGGCCGAACGTTCTTAGATTGTTTGCTTGTTTGCTTGTTTGCTTGTTTTGCTTGTTTGCTTGTTTGCTTGTTTGCTTGATTTGATTGTTTGCTTGATTTGATTGTTTGCTTGTTTTGATTGTTTGCTTGTTTTGATTGTTTGCTTGTTTGCTTGTTTGCTTGTTTGCTTTGTTTGATTGTTTGCTTGATTTGATTGTTTGCTTGATTTGATTGTTTGCTTGATTTGATTGTTTGCTTGTTTGTTTTGTTTGATTGTTTGCTTGATTTGATTGTTTGCTTGATTTGATTGTTTGATTGTTTGCTTGATTTGATTGTTTGCTTGATTTGATTGTTTGATTGTTTGATTGTTTGATTGTTTGATTGTTTGCTTGATTTGATTGTTTGCTTGATTTGATTGTTTGCTTGTTTGATTGTTTGCTTGACTTGATTGCTTGCTTGATTTGATTGTTTGCTTGTTTGCTTGTTTGCTTGATTTGATTGTTTGCTTGTTTGCTTGTTTGATTGTTTGCTTGATTTGATTGTTTGCTTGTTTGCTTGTTTGCTTGTTTGCTTGTTTGCTTTGCTTGTTTGCTTGTTTGCTTGTTTGATTGTTTGCTTGATTTGATTGTTTGCTTGATTTGCTTGTTTGCTTGTTTGCTTGATTTGATTGTTTGCTTGTTTGCTTGTTTGCTTGTTTGCTTGTTTGATTGTTTGCTTGATTTGCCGCACTCGCCAATATTCCAGCCATATCATCACAATCTAAAAATCCAGTGGTTGACATTCTGAGCAATAATCCACAACATCAGGTAACGATGACGCTCTATCAACTATGTCATCGAGCCAGACATACCCATGTATGCCGCCCTGGTTGCTGGTTGGAATTCTGACCCGGAATCCCACGGCCAGGAAACAAATCCAGTGGTTGACATTCTGAGCAATAATCCACTTCAGGTAACGATGACGCTCCATCAACCATGCCATCGAGCCTGACATTCAGTTATTTTCCTATCACTGTGGTTGCTGAGGAGCCTGATTCCCACGACAAAGAAATACGTAGAATGAAACATTCCCAGAGCCCGATAGTCCATCCTATTTATCAGGTCATTGGGTTTCTGTTGATCAATTCTGAACCAGATCCCCTCGATCAGGAAATAAGTAAAATGAAACATTGCACTTATTGATTTATTTGAATCATGCACCTTTCTTCCATATCACATCACCTGGCCATTTCCCGGATCTGTTCAAGGCCAGGTTATGTTCTTTAACCGGGTGTACGGGTACCATGTTGTGCTTGGTGAGGAACTCGATGATATTCTTAGCTTCCGGTTTGTTCTGGTGTGTGTTCCATTCCATCAGTACATACCTGACGTCGACCTTGGAGAAGAATGTCTCCGCACCGAGAAGAACTTCATCCTCGTGTCCTTCAACATCCATCTTCATTGCCACTTTGTAGAACTGAAACACCTCCAGTAAATCATCCAGCAACATGGTCTGCGCTGTCTCCTCGCTGTCTGATGTTACAGGTTTCACGTATGTGCCACCGACGTTCCTGGCGTGGCTCCCTAAGGCGACCTTGACCCTTGTGTTGGATACGGCGTTGTGGACGATGTAGGCGTTTGTGTAATTACCGTCACGTATAGAGTGACAGAGTTTCTTCACGTTCTTCAGTAGAGGTTCGACTAGTACAACCTTTCTCCCCATTTTAGCTATAGTTAACCCGTACACGCCGATGTTCCCGCCGATGTCGACCAATACAAGATCGTCATCTTGTTTGAAGAAGTTGTAGAACTTTGTCACCAAGTCCCCTTCCCACACGTCTCCCTTTATAATTGTTGCAGACACCCAAATATCCTCCGTCGCAGGGTGAACGTAGATTGGTGTGTCTCCAGCTGGAGAGTGTAAAACTGTTTTCACGAAATTAGTATCTCCAATACACGCGCTACCGTCACGTGACCAGGACGCATTTGATCGGGAAATAACACTTGCACCTATCAGTGAGGTGTCTCGGGGGAGGAATTTGTCTTGCGGGAGTTTGCTTGTGTTGAATGCGTGATCTTCATTTGAAACATTTAAATGGTCTTGATTTGAAAAATTTCCATGACCTTGAGTAGAAACACTTCCGTGACCTTGAACTGAAATACTTCCGTGACCTTGATCGGAAACACATCCCTGACCTTGACGTCCGCTTAAAGCTGCCGTACAAAGAAGTCTATTGACAGAAAAACCATGTACATGCTTATGGAACATAACCTCATGAAAGTCTTGATAATGGTGCAGAGTATAGCGCATGACTGCGAACAATATGGCCACAGCTATCAAAGACGTCCACAACCGTTTCCGTCTACAACCAAACATTTCCACCGCATAAAAACAACACCGAGTTCTAACGACGTCCTCTGACGTCCTGTTGCTAAAACAAGTCTAACTAGCCACGTCAGAGAGTGGAAACCCATCACAGACGATGGCGGAGTTATAGTTGTTGCTTTGTTGAAATACACCAAGTGTCAACAAACCGATGTCAATATACTGGTCACCAAGGCAACCAACCCACAGTTTGAATACAATGCACTTCGTTATTTCTATAAGAGCGACGATCAATGCTCATCAAAAGTCTCACATCAAACGACTTTATCCTCCATTCCTTCCAGTGAGCCCGTGATGGCCGCCAGCAAATACCTGAAAACCATAGGTTACAAAAGACACGTCGGTCTGACCACAAAACACTCAACAGTGTAGTCTCAATTCTAATCCGACAACCATTGTTTAAATGGTTGATGGTTTTCAGTAACCACCATTGATCGGGTAGCCCTGTCACGTGACCACACCCGGACGTTATCGACTGTCAACAAAGCCGGCAATTGTTGTTGAAGGATTCCTTTGCTACATCGGCATGTGCTCGTGATGAGATTAATTTCTTTAATATATATGTTATACCAAGCTTTAATAACCAAATCGTTAAATTGCAGACGACAAGTGCATGGTAGTTGAGCGGCTCAGTGCAACAGAGGTTTCAGATTGATTTATGTCAGAGGTGGGGCGTTGTCCACCAAGCCCACGTGTACTCAATTCAGGTCTCACCCTTGTACCCTTGGGCTTGAAACGATACCAACTACAGCTCGTTCAGCTTGACTTGAGCTACTCTACATATGCATGACCCGGAGGTCAAATGGCACAAACGGCAGGTCGACTTAACTTCATTAAATAGGACTGACTGACTGAGTATGGTTTTACGCCGCTTTTAGCAATATTCCAGCAACATCACGGCGGGGGACACCAGAAATGGGCTTCACACATTGTGCCCATGTGGAGATTCGAACCCTGGTCTTCGGCGTGACGAGCCGATGCTTTAACCACTGTGCTACCCCACCGCCCCCATTAAATAGGAGAGCAAAGAATGTTATTAATGTTGCGTTCATGCAAAACATGCATGCATGGATTCGTTACAGAACTTGTCCCGGAAAACAACACTTCTGAAAAAACAATCATTTCATGTTTTAATTGAATTATTTATAAAGTCATATGCTGTCTAGTTTGGTTTACTAACTTTACAACGTACAGACGTCAATTACGTTCACAATCCGTTCCACTCGCGCTATCATTCTCTACACCCAGTTCAATTATCACTTTTTCTATTTCATGTTCAACTGCAATATGTTTGCAGCTTCATTTTTAAAGAACGTTAGGATATTGCTGATGATTTCTCAACATTGAGATGTGAAACGGCGACCTTGCCTCGGCTGTGCGGACATGGTGACAACCAACTGACAAAGGTGCACCCCTTCACAATAGACCCAACCAGGTGTGACACTGTCACGCAATTTGTATTCACTTGATCAGGTCTAGCTGAACAAGCTGTAGTGAGATTGCTAACATATATACAATAACTTATCAGGTTGCGATCTGACATTATTGGCGTTCGGGACCGGGAAACATGTTTCCGTGGAGGACTTGTGGAATATTAAGCTTGTCTAACCTTGACCTCCTCCTCAAACACTGAGCACGTATCGGGTATCGGGTATCGGATAGGCCCACAGCGTGGTTGCGAACGTTGTCAGGCAATCGACAGTGGTCTCTCGGGTGAAGGGTCTGTAGACTGAGGTTACGTTATAATATATGAAATATAGCTTTACAGTTAACTCCGCACTGACAACTCCTTCTCACCTATTGGATTTTAAGACCGTTGCTTTGTTAAATGTTTCAGCGAAGACTTTCTGCTCCCGTTCCTTATTTAGCAGCTGAGACACGTGAAGATCCGGGTTAGAATTGACATTGTACCCATGTGGGGAATCGAACCCGGGTCTTCTGCGTGAAGAGCCAACGCTTTAACCACTACGTGTCTCTATTCCGCTCACTTTATCAACAAACACATTCAAATTACTGTTGTAAACAAGCCTTTTGCAAATCATGTAATATCACGATTTATACACCCGTGAAGATCCGGGCTAGAATTGATCTTCAGCAACCCATGCTTGTGTAAGAGGCGACTAACGGGATCGGGTGGTCAGGCTCGCTGACTTGGTTGGCACATGTCATCGGTTCCCAACTGCGTAGATCGATGCTCATGCTGTTGATCACTGGATTGTCTAGTCTAGACTCGATTTTCTTCCAGACCGCCGGCATACAGCTGTAATATTCCTAAGTGTGGCGTTAAACAAATAGACTGACTGCCTGACTGACTGAGTATGGTTTAACGCCGCTTTTAGCAATATTCCAGCAATATCACGGCTGGGGACACCAGAATGGGCTTCACACATTGTACCCATGTGGGGATTCGAACCCGGGTCTTCGACGTGACGAGCCAACGCTTTAACCATTAGGCTACCCCACCGCCCTTAAACAAATAGACACATGCACACAATATAGTCAGTTTTGTATACAATCAACTCTGCTTTTGGCAGAGATTTCTTATGGATGAGGAAAGGGTTTTGTCGTTTTTAGTTATTAGACTCGATTATTTACAGACCGCAGCCATATAGCTGGAATATCGCTGAGTGCTACCAGCCAACACCCAATCCTGGCAGCGTGTATAAACTATTCATATCTGGATGGTGTTGTGTCATCCACCTGTTTACCTGCATACACTGGCGTGACTTTATGTTTTTTAGATTAGACCCATAAGTAGGTCACGGCACTTCGCGAGACCTTACGTTGTTTAGTACTTCCGGGGACAAACAACGTTTCATACCTTTCCCAATGGTCTCATCGTTGTCAGTTGACAGTAAGGAGCAGATAGTCCTTGCAGGAATAACAAATTTCCGATCTAATCGTCTTAACTATTATGACAGTCACAAGCTGTGACAGCCAAGCATGGTTGTACACTTGGTCCGGTTAGTAAAGTCATATTTGGTGGTCGCGCAAGTTGGAAACAGAACTGGTTCTTGAATACACCCGCGTCACTGGAAATTTGGTACCGTAAGTAAGCTGGGCCCCGTCTTGCATATCGCACGTTGGCGTGCGCTAAGGGAGCTGGAAACCAGCTTAGTACCGGAAGTAGCTCCCCCGCGAGAATTACAGTCCCTTAATTCTCTCTTTCATTATCACCTCCGTTTTAATCTGTATCTTGTGTCTTCAATGTCTAAAGGCAGTTTGGGTGTATATTGTACAGAATATTTACCGTGACTTTTAACCGAATTACGATGTGTGACACTTAAATAATTTCTCATTAGGCCTGTTATTGTTCTTCAAAATAGAGTGAGTGAGTGAGTTTAGCTTTACGCTAAATACAATGTATACAAAATAAAACAAAGTGAGTGAGTGAGTTTGGTTTTACGCCGCTTGTAGCAATATTCCAGCAATATCACGGCGGGGAACACCAGAAATGGGCTTCACATATTGTACCCATGTGGGGAATCGAACCCGGGTCTTCGGCGTGACTAGCGAACGCTTTAACCACTGGGCTACCCCACCGCCCCTCTTCAGAATAGAAGATAGTTAGTAGAAAACAAAGAGATTGTGGGTAGGTATATGTATGTACCCTTTGGCGGAACTACTTTGAGAGTATGTTAAACGGTAACCTGAAGATGTCGTCAGTGCACATATTTCTTGTCTCAAAATTACATTGTGGGAAGTACAAATACAACACCAGCCATAGTAAGGGAATATAGTTTTACGACGCCTTTAGCAATATTCCAGGAATATCACTGTGGGGGACACCAGATATGGACTTCACATATTGTACGCATGTGGGGAATCGAATCCGGGTCTGCGGCGAGACGAACGGATGCTATAACCGTTAAGCTACCCCACCGCTCCCAACAACTATAAAGCAACACGGTCTTAATGAGATAACCAGTCACCAGGAAATCTGGCGTCTTGCTCATACGTCATAGCATTTGTGATCAATTAATACATTGAGTCTCAACTGGCGGTTATTGATTCTACGTATGCCAAAATATGTATTGCATTTCTGCGTCTACTTTGAAATGATGATCACTTGGCAACCATTCCATAACTGCTGTAGGCGAAATACTACGCGCGACAGGTGCAGTTATTGATTCCACGTCTACCAAAATATGTATAGTATTTCTGCGTCTACTTTAAAAGGATATTCACCAAGCAACCATTCCAAACCTGCTGCAGGCGACTAACTACGCCCGAAGGCTGTTATGTAATTAAATAGGTCTCAAGAAATATTGAAATATTCAGAATGAATGAACAGTTGAGTTGAGTTGAGTTGGGCTTTACGTCACATCGGCATTTTTCCAGCCATATAGTGACGAGAACAAGTTTGCATTAGTAAACATTGTAAGTACATACTCGGAATGAGTTTTATTTCAAAGACATATATTGATTACATTGTCATTTAAAAGCAGAGAAAGTCATAGCATCAAATTTAAAGGCAGGCAATTTGTTAGTCACGTTTCATAGTTACAATTTATGGTTGTTACATTTCGCAGTTACAATTTATTATACAGATCAACTTCCCTCAGGTAGTTCACTATCAGATGAGCGCTCACGCGGGAGAACAGATCTTTTAGGTTTGTTGCATCATAATGTGAGTCCCTTGCAGACGATAAGTCCACGCATTCAAGCAGAATATGCTTGATGGTGAAAACCTCATCGCAAGAATGAACAGCATTATATTTATCTTACAGGAGGAATCGACCGTTTCCAAATTCAATATGTTATTTTTTGACATCCGGCATCCTAGAAAACTTACATAATAGAGAATTTTATGGAACACGTTTTTTGTTAAAACGTATCAAGCGTCACAAGGTGTTTCATGGTGTTTGTCTGATGTAGGGAGGAGTCTTTCTGTCGGTGATAGTATTCAGACGTAGTTTGTGCGTGTGTGCGTGTGTCCGTTGCGTTGTGTTGCAGAGCTGCGTCCAATGGTCACCCCAAAACCTATAATTGTTGGTTCGAATACCGATCCGCCCAGATTAGGTTATCAGGGTTGTCAGCACAATACCCCAACCCCTTGGCCTGTCATCTCACATTAAGTGAGTGAGTGTGGTTTTACGCCGCTTGTAGCAATATTCCAGCAATATCACGGCTGGGGACACCAGAAATGGGCTTCACACATCACCTTGTACCCATGTGGGGAATCGAACCCGGATCTTCGGATTGACGAGCGAACGCTTTAACCACTAGGCTGCCCTACCGCCCCTCGCATTAAGGCGACAGGGGTGGTTGAGGCGTTCGCTCCTCCCGCCAAAGACTCGGGTTCGGTTCCCCGACATGATATTGCTGGAATATTACAGCGGCGTAAAACTAAACTCACTCACTCAAACTGTATCGTTGTATTTGCTCACTGAACAGTTGTATCGCATCATTAACCGGGACATATGCATACATGAATTTGAGACCCCGAAAGAAAACTGCAATGTGTAGTTCTGAACATTTGACGTCACACATTTATTGTGTCATAGAAAGCAAAAAATGTGACGTCACAATCGGCTGTAGACAAGTTAATTAGATATCATCATATCTCACAAAATCCGCGAAGATCCGTGTTAGAATTGATCTTCAGCAACCCATGCTTGTTGTAAAAGTCGACTAACAGGGTCGGGTGTTCTGGCTCGCCGACTTGTACATGTCATCTTATCCAAGTTACGTAGGTCAATGCTCGTGCTGTTGATCACTGGATTGCCTGGTCCAGACTGTGACTGTTTACAGATTATCACCATGATTGCGGCGTTAAACAACAATCTACAAACTAAGTATAGCAAAAGTCATTTTATGTAAGAGTAGCGTTCAAAATACAACTGATATGAAATATACCAGGATAATAGAATGTATCAATGTTAAATCGTGGCAAACGTTACTAAGGTTTTTGTTACTGTCAATGCCTCAAATCTGACGTTTTTGTAGACAACTCACAACAAATAAACAAATGACCTTAATATGTGGTATTATATTATTATATCCTGAAAGTGTAGAGCAATTATTGTAACATTGAAATTTCGATCGGGACGACGTTTTAAACTAGGAATCTCATAATTGTTAGCAAAGGTGCAAGTTAACCTGCCAGAATACATACGGGAGCCCGTCTTAATTGTGCTAAATGAACTGACAGAAACGCAAACACGCACGCACGCGCGCACACGCACACATTGAAGGAAGATCCTGTACATCTGTGTTGTAATAACATAAGTCTACACACACCTGAACCAGTCACTCACTGTGAAGGGGTGAGTGAGTGAGTGAGTTTAGTTTTACGCCGCACTCAGCAATATTCCAACTATATAGCTGTGGTCTGTAAATAATCGAGTCTGGATCAGTGACTCACCGTGAAGGGAGATCCTGTACATGTGTATTATAATAACATAAGTCTCCACACACCTGAACCAGTCACTCATTGTGAAGGGAGATCCTGTACATGTGTATTATAATAACATAAGTCTACACACACCTGAACCAGTCACTCACTGTGAAGGGAGATCCTGTACATGTGTATTATAATAACATAAGTCTACACACACCTGAACCAGTCACTCATTGTGAAGGGAGATCCTGTACATGTGTATTATAATAACATAAGTCTACACACACCTGAACCAGTCACTCACTGTGAAGGGAGATCCTGTACGTGTGTATTATAATAACATAAGTCTACACACATCTGGATCAGTCACTCACTGTGAAGGGAGATCATGTACATGTGTATTATAATAAAATAAGTCTACACACACCTGAACCAGTCACTCACTGTGAAGGGAGATCCTGTACATGTGTATTATAATAACATAAGTCTACACACACCTGAACCAGTCACTCATTGTGAAGGGAGATCCTGTACATGTGTATTATAATAACATAAGTCTACACACACCTGAACCAGTCACTCACTGTGAAGGGAGATCCTGTACGTGTGTATTATAATAACATAAGTCTACACACATCTGGATCAGTCACTCACTGTGAAGGGAGATCATGTACATGTGTATTATAATAAAATAAGTCTACACACACCAGGATCAGTCACTCATTGTGAAGGGAGATCCTGTAAATGTGTATTATAATAACATAAGTCTACACACACCCGGATCACTCACTCACTGTGAAGGGAGATCCTGTGCATGTGTACTGTCTACACACACCCGGATCACTCACTCACTGTGAAGGGAGATCCTGTACATGTGTACTGTCTACACACACCCGGATCAGTCACTCACTGTGAAGGGAGATCCTGTACATGTGTACTGTCTAAACACACCCGGATCAGTCACTCACTGTGAAGGGACATCCTGTACATGTGTACTGTCTACACACACCCGGATCAGTTATTCACTGTGAAGGGAGATCCTGTACATGTGTACTGTCTACACACACCCGGATCACTCACTCACTGTGAAGGGACATCCTGTACATGTGTACTGTCTACACACACCCGGATCAGTCACTCACTGTGAAGGGACATCCTGTACATGTGTACTGTCTAAACACACCCGGATCAGTCACTCACTGTGAAGGGAGATCCTGTACATGTGTACTGTCTACACACACCCGGATCAGTCACTCACTGTGAAGGGACATCCTGTACATGTGTACTGTCTACACACACCCGGATCAGTCACTCACTGTGAAGGGAGATCCTGTACATGTGTACTGTCTACACACACCCGGATCACTCACTCACTGTGAAGGGACATCCTGTACATGTGTACTGTCTACACACACCCGGATCAGTCATTCACTGTGAAGGGACATCCTGTACATGTGCACTGTCTACACACACCCGGATCAGTCACTCACTGTGAAGGGACATCCTGTACATGTGTACTGTCTAAACACACCCGGATCAGTCACTCACTGTGAAGGGAGATCTTGTACATGTGTACTGTCTACACACACCAGGATCAGTCACTCACTGTGAAGGGAGATCATGTACACGTGTGTTATAATAACATAAGTCTGCACACACCAGGATCAGTGACTCACTCAGTGTGAAGGGAGATCCTGTACATGTGTACTGTCTACATAAACCCGGATCAGTGACTCAAGTCACACCGTAAAGGGAGATAACGTGGTCCCGAAGACACAATTTGCTGAAACCGCGTATACGTTGCGAGTTGATGCGTGTGCTTAGACCCGACTCAATCGCCAGCTGAAAGTGGCTGCTTGTCCAACAAACGCTATTGATCAACCTGTCGTCTCCGACATACAGGTAGGACAAGGAGCTTCCTAACTCCCCGGGTTAAGGTACGTACAACATTTGAGTTTACTTGTCACACGAACGTGAATTACACTCACATATGTCCAGTGTGTAGATGCCTGTTTGTAGTGTCGGTGTTGGTGTGTTATTTGACATACCCTTAGCTTACACATGTTGTAGAGTCATGTATATCAATGCCAGATACCTGCCTTTTTGTTAACACCAAGCAGGAACCCGGACAGGGCCGCAAGGCTTTTTCATGTACGCCATTACCTGTGTCATATGGTTGTAATGACGCCTGACCTTAGTGGAGTTTCAAACACTAACACGTATAGTAGACACCGATCTGACAATCTTGACTCAAAGCTGACTAAGGTTGACGGCAACTTTTACACGTCTCAGACATGGCTGTACTAACGTTTTTCACGGTAACATTAAAGGAAACGAATTCCGATTGCTCATGTGACAATTTTTTTAATTTAAGGGTGGGGTGGGGTGGTGGAGGGTGGGGGTTCTGACTTGATTTAATTCATAACTAATTCACTTCCATACTGATAATAGAAGTAGGAATTCATAAAATAGCACATTTATTCATTAATTCATTTATTAATTTGTTAATTCAAATGTCTGGGCGATATGACGTCTTACCCATTCAAAGAATCAGTTGAATCGGCTTGGTAGGCTGCGCATATTTGGCGGGCGATCAGGTTCCCACGAACGACAACGGGCGAGTCCTTTTGGCCTTTATTCACAGTGCACAGGACGTCGACCTTTGGGTGACATGTCACGGTTCAGGTAAGAAAAAGGTCGACGTCCTGTCCATTTGACATTATACCAATCAACAGGGGATTAAAAAAGACAGAGATAATCCAGTGTTTACACAAGGTGATAATCCGGATTATGCGGTTGAAAGCACAGACAACAGGAGAAAAGTATTATATTTCGTCCATTTTATTTCTGATTCGAAATCATCCCACATGAAGCAGGTGAGATGCAGCATCTGCAAAATCTCTGGTGTTGATGAGGCCATTCCTAAGATCATGTTTTAGGACGTCCAGGCGACGTTCCAAATCCCTGTACTTCTTTTTCTTCAAGGGACGTTTTTGTCCACCGCCGAACTGCAACAGGCGGACTTCAGTGTGAGTCTGCTCCTTTGCAAGAAACTTGATCATTTCAAAGATATTGGGGTGCGCCTTCCCCACCAATCTCTTGAGACGAGAGTGCCACCCTTCTAAATGGTTTTGGTGCGGGTTTCAAATGTAAATTATGCAAAACATGGTTCGGATCAGATATATTTATTTTACATTTTATTTTATATTTTTCTTTGTAACATATTGATATTAGGCATTGAGAAAATGCTTACCTTCATGTCTACTTCGACATTGGGATGACTATGGACGCCTTTCACCTTCGTCACTATGTCATTGACGGTTGACGCAGTGGAGTTACAGTTCTTTTCTGTGCACTTCCAAGATATCCAATCTCTCTTCCTCTTATTCACACGGTACATAAAGCCACCAACACACAGGTATCTGCCACCACGAGATGTAGGAAGAAATCGCTGATTCAACTGAGCATTTGCCATTTCGAAACTGAATGTAAACTACCTCAAGTTCTTTCCTTATATATATCCAAATTGAATGAAATGTGTTCATCATTGTAAAAATCACTCTCATATGATAACATTTATGACATTGATGACATTTTGTGTGAACTACGTGGGTGAACTATGTTCACGCCTTTTGCACGCCAAAGTTATCGACAATCTTAAAACAACACCCACTGGCGGATTAGCGTGACTCTAACAACACCTTCGACATCAAAGTTAGCCGCAGGTCGACTTCGTGTCCATAGCGAAATTTCAAAAGGTCGACTTCGTGTCCGATGGCCCTTGGTCCCAGACTAAAGGCAGTCAGCCTTTCCTTGTTATCGACGATGGTCTTTATTTCATACTGAAAGGCCGTAGGCCTGTAGTACATTGATTAATCATGTGCGGGTAGTAGAGCATTCTTTCGGAGAATAAAAGCTTTATGGATATATATGGACGATCTTTCTATATGTGTTTTACTGGAATTATTCATCAATGATATAAACTTATGCATTTCAGGATGTATATAATAATATTTCTTTATAAATTTATATCTATTTCTTAACGATAAGTATGCTGGACAAACACATAAAAAGTGAAACTCATCTTCGACCTCGTGTAAGTTGCACATTTGGCAGATTCTACTTTCTTTCTCAATACCTTGGTATCTCCCAGTTTCAACATATAAATCATGCGCGGAGCAGCGGAATCTCGCTAATGAAGATTTATATTTCCTTATGGTCAAGACTAAAAGATAATGTTCTGTATATATTGAATCTTTTATCATTTTGTAGTAAAAACATTTATTAGATAATGAGAGACTAGTTAACCAATTTTTAAGGAATATATCTTTAAGTCTTTGTTTAATATATGTAAGACTCTTTACTCATATCAAAGATGTAGTCCTGGCTACACCTGGAGCTGAACTTGGCCCAGACATCGTCCACACAGACTTTGAATTACCTGCCGTTCAAGCCATCCAAGAAGTACAGCCAATGTCTGCTCAGAACAGTGCAAACCATTGGACTACAAGGGAGATGCTGGAGTGCAAGCTATAGTTCGTCAAAGAGCATGTCTTCCTCTGTTGCCCATCGACATGGTACAAGAAGCTTGGATAGACCAAACCAGTTCTTAGTGAATACATTTGCAGACTATGTGACAACAACTTGGGTAGACGACGATGCTATGTTTAAAGTGTTCATGTGGAATCAGTTCGGTAACGATGGTCCTCGTACGAACAATGACTTTGTGGGTTGGCATTCCCAATGAAACAAATCACCGAGAAAGGCACATCTCAATGTCTTTGAATTCATCTCTCATCTACAAGGCATTGAGGATGCTAACAGAAAGAAAAGAGCCCAACTAGATCTTGGTGCAGCTCCAGTGCACAGAAAACGGATATATAGAGAAATTGACTGTCGGCTGCAGAGACTTATGAACCACTTGTTAGAAGGTCGCAAATCCAAGCTACAGGTCCTTGATGCTGCAAGCCATCTCCTTAACCGCGATCTTTAATGAACTATATTTTGTGTAGAGATGATGGATATAAAAAGTGTAAAAGTAATGCTATGGTTGATGCTACTATTATCATCTTAATAAATGATGAACTCTGAATGTTGTTCTTTTTATCTGTTAAATCTGTTACTTAATTGATGAACGTGTTCACTTTCCATTGCCAATGTGCAACTCCCTATATATGTTTTAGGAGTGTAGGCAGAATGTCATGTAGACATGGGGATGATGAACGTGTTCACTTTCCATTGCCAATGTGCAACTCCCTATATATGTTTTAGGAGTGTAGGCAGAATGTCATGTAGACATGGGGATGATGAACGTGTTCACTTTCCATTGCCAATGTGCAACTCCCTATATATGTTTTAGGAGTGTAGGCAGAATGTCATGTAGGCATGGGGATGATGAATGTGTTCACTTTCCATTGCCAATGTGCAACACTCCTATATATGTTTTAGGAGTGTAGGCAGAATGTCATGTAGACATGGGGATGATGAATGTGTTCACTTTCCATTGCCAATGTGCCTACACTCCCTATATATGTTTTACGAGTGTAGGCAGAATGTCATGTAGACATACTGTGAGTGAACCAACCAAACGGAAGAAGTGATTGACGTTTTTAAACGTATTTATAAGATCCTTAAGTCCTATTTAGGAGATAGTAAGTTCTAATTAGGAGATATTAAGTCCTAATTAGGAGATAATAATTTTTGTGTGTGTGTGACCCTAATACGCTTCCATAGCTTACCGTGTTTGTATGGTGATGTTTTATTTTTTATTTTTGAATCTCCATAGCTGCACGTCATACAGGTAGTTGATTACATAACAGGTTGGTGTAAACACGATTCACAAATATATACAAAATCGATTTACAGGCAATTGTGCTTACAGGTTGAAATGAATAGGTACATGAGAATATACTAGCAGTACAGTATATATAACATTAGATTAACAGAACAGATTGTAACATATTGACCAAACCTTTGTGAAACTTTCAATTAGAGTAGGCATTGATACGTTCAGCATAGTACGTTGTCTTTATGTCTTCTCTAATGTACTTCAAGTTTGGTATTTTATCTCTTTGTTTCACTGGGTGGTGGGGTAGCCTAGTGGTTAAAGCGTTCGTTCGGCTCGCCGAAGACCCGGGTTCGATTACCCACATGGGTACAATGTGTGAAGCCCATTTCTGGTGTCCCCCGTCGTGATATTGCTGGAATATTGCTAAAAGAGGCGTAAAACCAAACTCACTCACTCACTTTGTTTCATTTTGTATATATTGTATTTCACCGTATTTGTATGTTGTTTAACGCCGCTCTCAGCAATATTCCAGCTATATGGCGGCGGTCTGTACACAATCGAGTCTGAACCGGACAACCCAGTGATTAACAAGATTGATTTACGATTTACAATGCAGGTTACAAAGTTCAGTTGTTGATTGTTTGTTGTTTAACGCCGCACTCAGCAATAGTCCAGCTGTATGGCGGTCGGCTGTCAACAATCGAATCTGGACCAGACAATCCAGTGATCAACAGCATGAGCATCGATCTACGCAACTGGCATACTATGACATGTGTCAACCAAGTCAGCCAGCCTGACCACCCAATCCCGTTAGTCACCTCTTACGACAAGCATGGGTCGCGGAAGACTAGTTCTTACCCGGATCTTCACGGATCTAATCTTAGACTGTGTTTTAGGATATTCCAGTTCCAGGAATGGCAGAGCATTCCATGTATTAACGGTTAAACCGTGTGTGCTGTAACACACCTCGATAACTTACAGTTACACACATGTACAGAAATATCCAGACACTATAGAATTAAAATGCTGAATTATACAATGTGAATACTGGACTGACCTATACAATGTGAATACTGGACTGACCTATACAATGTGAATACTGGACTGACCTATACAATGTGAATACTGGACTGACCTATACAATGTGAA